GTGCTGAATAAGTTATAAACTTAAGTATATTTCGAATTTTGTACCCTCTGCTCCTTTTTTCTTACAGGGAGCAAATGAGAAAAGGAGTACAATAGTTAAATGGAACTGAACATAACATTGATTATTTGTAGAAGAGGCTGGTAAGAATAGAGTGTCCTAGGTCAAGCAATTGCAGTGTTGCATGCAAAATTTCAAAACAAACTTGTCTTAATTATATTTTGTAAATGGATAAACAATCATCTTTCTACACAGTGACAGAAGAAAAAATAGTGCTCTGTGCATTTTGATATTTGACTTTCTCTTTTCACCATTGTTAACTGTTTTGACACAGTTGGGTTCATCATCATGGTTCACAGACATCAGAATGCTAAATGATACTGTATTTTTAAGTTTGTGTTGCAAGAATGAATGGAATAAACTTGAAATGTGCGATATGAGAATTTGGAGTTTCATTTCTCTTTCTGTTCCTGTGTTTTATTAACCTCAGGCTACAACTTTTTATTTGCCTGGAAGGCATCTAAATTCCAGCTCACATGTAGTGATTAATCTGTTTAGCTGCTTATAAGAAATGTGGAATGGAAGCTGCTTTGAAAATTAAATATAATGTTCTTTGTGATTGTTTTGGGGGGTTTTAAAGTACATCAATTTAAAGGGGGTTTTGATAATTTTTGTGGCCTTGTTGTCTGTTTTTCCTGCTTAAATGTTTAAGGTTGAAGTTCTTCTATTCATGCTAAATTCTAAGAGACAATCTATAAAAAGAGGAATGTTCCTCCTATTACCCGTGAAGACTGCTTTCAAATTGCTTTCTCCCTCATCAAAGAAATTGAAAACAGTTATTAACAGAAATCTCAGCTGAAGTATGAATAAAATTGTATAGAAATGTTTATTCATTATTCTTGTGACATCTTTACAGTGACTTTGTCAGAACTTCCTTTTTTAACTTTGTTTGTCAGCAGAGATTTGAATCTAATTGCCTGAAGTGTTTTATATGATTTATTTTAAAATAGACACTTATAAAGAAAAGTACAGGAAGATGTATCAAAGTAGAAGAACCATAAATACAAAAAAATTTTTCAATATAAATTAAATTTCCTGGTTTTCTCTGCTAAACTTTGAAAAGTTTACAAAACTTCTCATGCTGTATGCACAACCTTTCAGTCAGGTTTTGGAGGGAACAAGTGTGTGTGTTCACTATAAATGGCAAAGCAGTTCAAATGATGTAATGGCCAGTGGCAATTGATGTGTGTGGGCTTCAGTTCTCGTGTTCAAATTGCTGACTCTTTGTTTTGTGAATGTTTTTGATGTAGTTTTAGTGCTTTTTTTAATGGGCAGTTTCTCTACAGGAGGAAATATTCTCAATTCAAAATGCAGATTTCTTTCACATTCCTCAGTGACTGGCAAACCAAATTCACCTATGCAGGTAAAGAGTCTCTAATATTTATCTATGGCTGATCTTTTAAAATAGAATGGTTTCCCAGCTCCCTTCCAAAGGGATTTTGGCCCAAGAAAAGAATTTTTTCAATTGCACACTTGCTTGTTTCTCTGTTTGGAGAAAACTATACTGTCAGAGCTCTCCTCAAAATATTTGATTTATTCATGATCTGACATCTGGGAACAACTTTCACCTCAAAGCTATGCCATAAACTTCCTAGATGAATGTTGGAAAAGCACTTGGTTTCATTCAGTGCCTTCAGAGTCTTCAAACCCATGCAATTTTTGTCTATTTGGGAAGGAAATTAACATTTTTTCCTAAGATCAGGGCTCCTCTCTCCCCACCTTAGCAGTCAAAACAGTGTTTTCTAATTTAAACTTGGAAGTGTTGCTTTTAAATACCATTGCTTGCTATTGTGACCTAATAGTGTTTTGGAGAGCCTTCTTTTAAATAGAAATCCTGGAGTCTCTTGTGTCTTCACTCTTCAGGTGGTGTTTGGAGAGCACCTGAGTGCTCCTCCCTATTCTCCCACGTCCCAAATGTCTCTGGGTTGGGTGCACTGCAGGCTGCCACAGAACACAGGATTCTTTTGTGCTTTTCAGTCAGTTCTTGTTTACTACATCATTTTGCAACATTTCAAAACAAAGAATAGAGGTTTTCATGCTTGGAGGTTCATCTTGTGGCCATCCAACTTAAGAGGCAGGACAGTGTGCCAAAACCACGACAGACTGCATGTCTCAATCCATTTATCAAAATTCATTAAAGGAGAATTTTAGTTTTCTCAAGCTGAACATAAATTTGAAGGGTCCAAAACTTAGTCTCAAAAATAGTTTCTTGGCCACTGAGCTCAATTTTGGTCCATATATTAAATAATTCAACTCTGAAACATTTATTTGTATGTGTTTCTTATTATTTTTCCTCTAAATGAAAATAATTTCTCAATTACATTTGGAAGAATATTCAGTTTGTTCAGCTAAAAAAATACTTAGTTTGGATTACTGTTTTACCTCTTGTCTGAAAATTATTTGGAGGTGGGAAGTCTTGAAAAGTATGTAGCTCTTCATGGAAGTTAAATTATGCTTCCTCTTTCCTTTTGAAATACACTTTTAATTAAGATTTGTAGTCTTTTATTTGAGTAGCAGCATCTTGTGACCATGTCCAGCCACCCTTTCATTTTCTTTTATTATTCTTTTTTATCTATTCTTGTATTATTTTCAGTGGAAAACCAACAGATCTGTTTGATTGACAGAAAAGATCTTGGTTTGGTATCTTGGTTATTTGGCTATTGCGAATTTCTCAGTGCAGCCACCAAACCAGATCTATGGCATATAAATTTTGGTTTAACATTCCAGAAGTCTTTCCCAAAGTTTATTCTTGTTACTTTTAAATACTTTGGTGGGCTTTGTCTTGCAACACTACTTTTAAAGGGTTTTTTCATTGCATGAAGCAATAATTCCACATTTTGTAGCAGAAATTTATCTTCTACAATATTTTGGCCAAAAGAAAATTTAGGGTGTATTTGTGTATATCTGTTATACAAGAACATTTGTGCTGAAATATCTATATCTATTGTTCCTCATATCTATACTTTTGACAAATTGCTATGAAAAGTTAGTGCTGCACCTCTTACTGATGTCTACATGTAGATAAATCTGGAACAGTTTTGGAGATACTGGTGAGCTGCCACTAGAACTGGGATCAGTACAACAGCAACAGATTTTTTTGTGACTATGCACATGATGCAGTCAGATAAAACTTAAGGAAGTTTTAGCTTTCATATTTTCCAGATTCTGTACTGCATTAGTGTGTAACTGAATTTCATATAAAGTGATAGCAAGTTCTCTTCGCAGTTTAGTCAGAAAAACAATTCTTTTCCAGTCTGAGAACCAAGGACCATTACAGCTTTGGGCCCAAAAAGTGTGAACAACAGTGGACTGAGGAGAGCAGTCTGGGATGATGGGACTTCATAACCTGAAGCTGTAATTGGATACTTAAGCCCAATGTGGAAATGGACCAAAACTTATAAAAGTGTCAAAACTTGTGACACTTGAGTCCGTCTTGGGTGTAGCTACAGCCAGGCTCTTGTACTGCCTAAGGTGTGTCCTTTGAAGGCTTTAATTAATCCCTACTTTATTGCTTTAACACTGTCCAGCCTCTGTTCTAGGTAGCCTCTCAAGGCATCACACTAATTTCTCTGTACTTACCAACTTCTTTCCTTCTCTTTTGTTCATTTAAGATGTAAGCTGATGGGAGGATTATCTCTCAATTCTTGATACCGCTTAAAGGGTTTTTTAGTGCAATTTGCAATGTCAGTAATGTTCTCAGAAGCACAGAAGAGCACATTTAGAGAGATGAGACAGATGGAGGAAACACACGAATTTCTAGTGTGAGAGGCTTCAAACATAAGAACAAGACCTTAAATTATAAATTAATGAAATTGCTAAAGGTAGCTATACTTTTAAATATTTGCAAAGCTACATTAAACTTGAAATAAAGTAGGTCCAGTCTACAGCAATGAAGCTGCATAACCTGTACACTTAATAAGGAGGTGCTTCTGAGGCTGTGCTCTCACTATAAAAAGCTGAATATATATTGGCCATTCTTTCTTTAAAAATATTTTAAAAAGTAACTATCTGTCAGTTACTTAACAAATAGTTACTTTGGGGAAAAAAGAATTCCCATGTTCCCTATTTACAAATCTCAGTTTGAGATTGAAATTTTTTTTAATTTGAAGAGGTAAGGTTGAGAGAGATGTGCAGAGGGAAGTGTGCTATAAATTGCCACCCAGATCTCCTTGAATGGTTTCAGAAGATCATGTTCTATCAAAAAGCATTTGTTCTCTGTGTGCCAGAGCTGGCCTGTGACACCTGTGCCTATTCCCATTCTTACCTGCCCCTCCTGAATGCACAGCTTCCAAAGGCTGTGCTTTACCTGCACCACACTTTTCCCTTTTTAATGGATGCCCTGAAAATAGGTAGAGAATTGTTAGAAGATGCTATTAGAAAAAACTCCATCTAAGGCTATCTCTCATCTATAACAGGAAAGGGAGAATTAAACCCATGGGAGGGAGGACTGAGGAGAAGTAAGTAAATGAAAGGTTTTCTCCATCTTACCTCCTTTCTACTATAGGCACATCTTTTAAATCTTATAGTAGTTTGTACTTTTTTTAAAGAATCAGATGCTTTATTTCCTTACTGGTTTTTGGGGTTTTTTTTTGTTTTTCCTCCACATTTGAGGGGCTTAAAGTAGTTGCAGGTTTGGAATATCATTACTTACTTTCCTTCTCCTTGTTTCTTGCTTTGTTGTGGTGGGGGGCTGATTTTGTTTTGTTTTTGTTTCCTGAAAGCTATTATAAAGTGGTTGCAAAATACAGTAATGCCGAGGAGATCCTTTGTGCTACCCTGAAGTAATGTGAGTGTGACAGAAGAGGTCTAACTTGCCTGTTACTTGAGTTCTTGAGGCCCTTTTGACTGCATGTCTCCTAAATTCTAGTGAAAGATGTCCCTGCCCTTGGCAGAGGGTTGGCACTGGAAGATCTTTAAGGTCCCTTCCAACCCAAGTTGTTCCATAGTAATGTGACAGTTGCTAGGAATGATGTAAATGACTTGATTTTGTTTCAACCTTTGCAGCAAGATAATTTTCTGAAACCTGCAAGGTACTGAATTTATCATACTGAACTGCTAATGGTTAATACATCATACTGCTGGCAGAAATAGAAGACATCACATGTTACAATCCTGCAGCTCTTTATGTTGCAGTTGGCCTTGTGATTCCTAATGTTCGTCCTAGTTGTGATACATAACATATTCTGAGCATAACTCAGAATACACCTGGACAAGCACACACCTCAAAAATTAGGCATTTTTGATAGAAGGATGATCCAGAAACAAACATTTTCGATTAAAGATCTGGATTTAAAAGACCATCTGCAGTGTAGAAGAGTAGAAAAACATAGGAGCCCAAGAGGAGAGAGAGTTGGGCTTTGCAGGATTTTAAAATATTGCACCAATGAACAAGGCAGGCAAGTGAAGGATAAAAAATAAGAAGATCCCATAGCGACTGAGAAGTTTTTCAGAGACCAATTTCTATTTCAGGCTTATTTCTTCACAGTTTCTATTGGAGACTAAGTGCTTTTCAGTAACAATTATAAGCCAAGTTTGTAAAAATCTGAGCTGCAGACAAGGGTTTGGAGGACAGTACATGTTGAGGTAAGGCAAAGCAAGGTGTATTGCATTCAGGTTTTATGGTGGACAAATCAGCTTGTTTCCCTGAGCACCTGTTACTTTAAGGAATAAGATTTTTTTTTTTTTGTGCATCTGTGAGATATAATCTAATTCATTAAAATGGTTGGATTTTGTTATATTTTGAGTTTGAGTGTTTGGTAATACTTGTGTGTGTTCATTCTGAACCTATTTTTTATTGCCTTCCTGCTGCAAAATGATAGATGAAACATGTTCTCTGTGAATTGGGTTTTATTACTTTTTAATTTTTTTTTTTTAGATCATAAATGTCTCTTGCTCCTCAGCCACTTGGGTTGGAAAATGCTGGTTTTATTGCACTGGAGTTTTGCTGTGAAGCAGGGGCCCATGTCAGTGCAGAGCTACCTGCTGCACACACGAGCCTTTTCACTCTGGAGAGCAGCTGTGACACGCTGTGCACCTCCAAATGCACTGGTGACTGGGAAAACACATCAATAATTTCATGGCCATCTAGGCAGAAAGCTGTTACCTTTTTGAAAAGAGGTTTCAACCAGATTGTTGTCATTTTTATCTAGAGATGAAATGCCAAAGTGAGGAAACACTGATTTGAAAGAGCTTACGTGAGCTTGACCTATCTGGTGAAAACTTCCTGTGGATAAAAAAAGCTGGAATCTCTCCCAAGTAAATGCTCAAATCTTTGCCAGGTAGTAGTAGGTACATGTGCTAGGATGCACCTATGGGTGGGTCATACCTCGGTGATTTTCAGGGGGTTGGAATGTTTCTTCAAAGGTTCTGTGTGCCCCACTGTTAAAAAGCCAGTGGACAAAACCCCTGGTGTAAAGCTTTGTCACTCCTGCCAGCAGTCCCATTTAGGAATCACTGTGGATATACACTAAGAGGGTAGCAAGTTTCTTTTTAAGTTTTATTTAGTGCAAGTGCAGCAGTGATAAAGGCAAATATCTAGTCAGGGATTCAATTTTGTAAAGTATTTGACTAAGAGCAAATACAAAGCTTGTCTTGCAGAGGCTTTGAAATTATACTAGATCTATTTTTTGACAGGTTAATAGTAACAAATGTCAATTTTTATTATGTTATCAGCAGATTTGATTGTTTTTCAGGTTTTTGTTATAATGAGGAATTCAGTCAGGTTTTTCCTTTGCATTCAAAAATTCATCTACCTGTAATGGAATATGAATTCATTATTCTGTGTCTTTTGGGTCTTTTAACGCTGGGAGTTATGTTGTGTATGTTCTTTGATTAAAATAGAATAATCCCTTCTTGCCTGAGGGAAACTTCTGTATGTGTAAACAGGCAGAGTAATACCTAGCACAGTAGATTTTTTTCCTTTAATTACTGTTCTTTCATTTTAAGAAGAAAGAGAGAGGGTAATTCATCTTACTCATGGACCATTGATCACCAGGTAATAAGAGGGAGGAATTTCCCTGATTCCTGGACTTTGATAAAATTTTGTGGTTAAAAAATGATACTTTATTTCTTTGTTAGGTTTAGATAAGAACAACTGATTTAAATTTTTGTAACAGCTGAATGCTACATAAATGGAACTCATCATACATCATTGTTATCACAATTGGTACCTAACATATAAGAATTTCCTCTTGAGAACTGAAGAATTTAGGGCTGTTTAATCCAAACACTTTCTTTGTAAAGAGGATTTAAATGGTTGTATTTGGGTTTGACAAGCAGCTGCTAAGAAACATGAAAAGCTGGTATGAAAATAACCTTGGTATTCTGCTACTTCCTTTCCAAATGCAAAACAAATAAACAACCTCCCACCCTCTGCTCTCAAAAAAAAAAAAAAAAAAAAAAGGAAGAAAAAAAGAGCAACCAACTAACGAACAAAAACAACAGAAAAAAATGACTTTGTGTTTCTGCCTGAGAAATTGCCACTTACTTAGGTTTTTATTTGGTGTTTTTATACCTATGCCAGTACTGGTAGCATCTTTTAACTGGTTTCTCCAAGGTTGTGTGACTACATTGGAGAAATATGAGATACTCGGCCTCAAAGGTTCATGTTTGCAATCTCCATTATTTTCCACCATGTCAAGAGGCAGATGTTTCTGTGTGGTGTTGTTTTCATTGATACTTAGGCCAAGTGCCTACAGGAGGCCAGCTCTTCTCAAAAACGTTCATCTTTTCTACTTCTGTGAGGTGTAGTGCTTCCCTCACTTGAGAAATACTAGGGGAAAATATTAGGGAGGGTGTTAAATAGTTTCATTGTTTTAATCTGCAGCGTTTAGCTCTTGCAAAGATAAAGTTGAACTTTGAGTGTTGTTCCTGCAACAGGTTATTTTTGCAGCAAAGGAATTCAGACTCATACAAGAAGTATGTAGAGAGGGGAAAAGAGAGAATTGTGTTGATTTCTGGTTCTCCAACATATAAATAAACTCAGGCTCCAGAAAATCTGTTCTTCCCTCAGTTTCACAGTTATTTAGCAAGTCCCTCCTTGAAGATTTGGGTTGATCTTGCCAGTTTTGATTTCCCTCTGGAAAGATATGATCAAAAGGAGGAAGTGCTTGTGAGTTTAAGCACTGTTAACCTGTGCAATGCAGTTGCCCAGGATATTAGTGCCAAGTTGAAGAATTTGTCCTGCTTGCATGTCAAGAAATAACACTTGGCTGGAAAATAAAATGTGGTTAAAAAGTGGAGCATGCCAGTGGTGGGGAGAACCTTTTAATAAACACAAAGCAAGGTGGAATGTACAGGGTTATGTGCAATTCATGTGTCTGTGCTGTCAAAGCAGCTGGGTCCAAACCATTGCTCTCTTTTTGATTATAAATTGAGTTTTGGAGGAAATTGCATTGGAAGGGGATGCTACTGAAAACATCTCTAGAGGTAATATATGAGGCGCAAAGCAGGATATTTTTAGTGTTATTAAGGAAACCAGAACATTATCAGGTAACATAAGAAAGAGGAAAACAATGCAGAGCATGCATTGCAAGAAATTTGGTAAAAAAAAATGCAAGTGACAAAATGATTCTTGCAGCAAAGCTTTCTTTGTGGCTGGGGCAAGAGAAAGAGTTTTAACCCTACAGGAAAGGAAAGCAATGAGTGTCTGTTGCAATGCATTCACTAATAAATTTCACATTTACACAGTCCAATAGTTTCTGCTGCAGAGGGCTTTGACTCAGTATAGTAAGATAAAAGTTTATAAAGTTCAGGGGACTTTTTGTGCTTCAATCTGGGAGAGAGCAAAAGAAATATCTCAAGTCCAAATGAGATATTAATTATAATATTTTAAAATTAATTAATTAATTGTGCTCTTTTATTTAGCTTTTTTTATTTTATTGTATTTACAGTTTTAAATATATAGAAGCTGAATTAGAGAATGTTGCAGCTTTGAAGTTCTTTGCCTCAATACTTGCTTTCTAAATGGTGCTATTATTTAATCTTTAACTGTAAAACCACTATATTCTGCTGCATTTAAAGAGTATTGTGAAATATAGTATTGCAAAATGCACAGGAAAGCAGTTGTAATGTTTCTTCCTGAAACAGGCAAGCACAGCAGCCCTTCTAAAATGCAAAATCCTATTTAAAATTAGCAGTATATAAGTGAACAATAATTACCAAGAGCTGCTTTCCACAGGCTTTCTACACTTTCAGACTGGTTTGTTTTTTTTGTTTTTTTTTTGAGGATGACCACATTCAATTAATTTCTATACATCTGGCTTGAGGTTGTGAAACTTCCTTCTGGTGTGATTGCACAGAAAACTTTGAGAACCACTCACCCAAGCCAGTAATCCTTAATACAGAAATAACAAAGATAAATGTGTATTTCAACGCCATAAGTAAGCACTAAGCTCTCTCCATTCTGGAGCCAGCAATCCCAGTGGAGGCTGGGAAGAACAAATCCATGTGGTTGAAGGTGAGCTAATCCACTGTGACAAAGCTGTGGGCTCTCTTGTCCTTGAGGCAGCTCCCTGCCTTTCTGCCTCGAAGTGCCAGGAGGTGTAGGGTGGCTGCAAATGACTTCATTTTTCACAGCTGTCACCTCCAGGACTGCTTTAAGCTCTGCTGAACTCCTTTTTTACTCTCTGCTCTTGCATGCCTTGGTTGATGAGCTTCCATGAGCCACAGCGGAGGGAGAGGAAAATCTATTTAAAGGGTAACATATTGGGGTCTGGTGTGAAGGATCCTTCTGCCACTGGTGTGAGGTACATGTGAGTGACATGAGCTGTTTTGGCTTCTACAAATGTGTTGCTGTCATTGGAGCAATGGTGGGAGAGTTACAGATACCCACAAAAAGACACAGTAGAGACACAGGCAGGAGAATATTGCTGTTCAGTGCTTTCCTCTGCTGAGAAGAATGGTGCTCCAAATGATTAAGTGGCCATCTCTGGATTCAGGAGAGCTGATTTCCTTGTTATTTTGTTTGCTCTTCAGACAAATATTTTCTGCTGTGGTTTGATGAAACAGTTAAAATAACAAATACTGCTGAAACAGCAGAATTCCCCTACCCTTCTCATCCTGGTTTGAGCCCCAACCTCTTTTTCTGCATTAGCTCTACTTCTCACCTGGCCCTAAAGAGAGCTGAAATAGCAGAAAATGCAGCCTAACAGCAACAGCAAAACTATGATAACCCTGAGACAATATTTTAACTGCTGTTAGGGAAAAGAAGCAAATTTTTCTTTTTTATTTTACAGTAGTGACAAAAATTGTAGCTGTCTGTGAATTTATCACATCTGGAATATTCCCCAGGTCTTTGTTATGTCTTTCCAAAGTTTCTTGTAATCCTTAGTAGCCTAGAATAATCATGGGGGCATAGTCACCTTGGTGTTCACCTTCCCTTTCAATTCATTAATTCGTGGGTTGAATGTCCTCAGTCCAGTCCTGAGGCTGGTCCCTAGTTCACTCCAGTATTAACCTCTGTCAACAGTGAGAAATGGCTACTGATGTCCAATTTGTTCTGTCTCTAGTTTTAAACTATGCCATGACTTTTATCCATGCTGGTTGCCAGATTTCTTCAATAGCTTCTTGTGAAGTGAGATTTTTTTTTTTTTTTTTTTTTTTTTTTTTTTTTTTTTTTTTTTTTTTTTTTTTTTTTTTTTTTTTTTTTTTTTTTTGTCAAAAGTGTGTGGAAAACTTAAACATTTTCTATCTAGAAGTTTCTCCTTTTTAAAATCAACTGGCTACCAGGGGTAAGGGGCAGTAGAGAAGAAAGGATATGGACAATTATTTTACAGAGCATATTTCCTTAACAATCAGTAATTATCCTGTAATTTTATAATCCTTGGGGGCTCTGGACTCTGACTTCAAAGGAAGCAAGAGAATGCAAGCATCCCAAACTTGTAAATGATCAGGCAATTAAAATGTCTCCTTTTCCCCAAAGTCCTTGTGAAGCATCCTACTCTGTAAACTGCTCTTTACAAGGGTAAACATATGCTTAGGGGAGCAATCGATTCCTTTCCTGAATGAATTAATTGATTCCCTGCCCCTGCGTCTTGTAGTGAACAACAAATTACCAGTGGCTGTTAAGGCAGCTCCAATGCACAACCTCATCTCCACCTAAACTAAGTTGGGACAGATCATTAATTTTGCTGGCCCTGGAATGGAGTGAGCTTGTCTCTCTGCAATTTGTTCCAGAAATGCATTACAACTGAATACATGAATCTGAATCAAAATCCAAGGTTTCCAGCACACTGACATTTCAAACAGCCTGTGACAAGCCATCATACTGTCTTGTGTTTCAATTACTTATCATCAAGCCTGTGAATACAGTAGGCAGTCCTTTGGAATTTGAATAAATACTTTGAATGGAAATGTTATCAACTTTGCTAGAGTTCCCCACTACAATGATAGCATGGGCAAACAGCTGAAAAATAAAATTAGTAATGCCTGGTTCTTCCACACCATTTGCATGTGGGAGGTTTGACAGAGGAAGCAGATACTTGGAGATAAAAGCACTATGGTCAAGGACAGAAATAGAAGGAAAATTCACAGTCTCCAACTTCTCAGTCAAGTTCCTCTGGGGCTTCCTGCTACTAAATCTATTTAGGACCTTGCAGTGGTGTCCAGAAGTCCTGGCCAAATACTGGTGTCTCTGTTCTGTGATACAATGCACACAGGTAAACAGAGCACGCTAATGTTTGACATCAGCTACCACTTCAAATAGTTCTGAGAGATCAAAAGTCCTCAGTTCCAGCAGGATAAACTCTGAAAGCAGAGGAAAGCAGCAAGGATGATCAAAGTTCCTGAAAACATACAATAACAGACCTTTTGATATGTAAAACACTCCTGCAAAGAGGAAGGGAAGCTGTCTTTCTCCATGACTGTGGCAGATGAGATAAAAATTAGTATAAACTACAGTGAGGAAACTGATATCAGGAAATAGTGAATTTCTGAGACATTTCTGAGAAAGCCTATGGAGTATCCATCACTAAATACTTTTAAAAATTGATATGTGTGATTTTTTTTTTTTTTTTTAAGGAGTTACTTATGTAAACCTTTCCAACAATGTGCTTTTTCCAAACTCCTCCTAGGCCAGCAATTTTGGGACATTTCGTCTTCTTGAAGTGTGTATATATATTTCATGCAGTTAAATATACTTTTTTAAAAAGCATTAAAATGCATGCCTGAGAAAAATGTATACAAGGGATGCGTATTTTTGCAATTTATATGGATTATCATATTTTAAAGTCATATTGAGAATTATAAGTTCAGCTGCCTTTCTGGGCTACTTAAAGGTTGGCTTTGGATTTGGTACCCTCTGGAACGGCGTAATTCATTATGCTTTATAGATACTTTCAGGTGTTTTCATATATTGTGCTTGTTGAAGGTAACCTCTGTGCAGACCTTATGGAAAAAGAAAAGTGACAAAGGCTTAGAATCTAAAAAAGAAAATTTTAAATCTTGAATAGGGGTTGGTTTTTCTTCTTCCTCCCAAGGATACATCCCCTGCAGCTGTTTGTATTGATTCTAACACCGGCTACTCTGCAGAATCCTACTGAGTCACTGTGACAGCTCTGTCTGTGAAAAACAGATTGCAAACCACCTGAAAAATATTTCAAAAATGGCTCTGAGAGCCATGTTGGATGTTGAACAGTGTTAAAAACACAAAGCTGTTCAATTGATCAAAGTTCAGTTCTGATGCCTTGCATAGCCACAGGCTATATGCTGGTGCAATTAATTAAATTTCAAAGTGCAATACTTTATTTTACACACTGGCTGTATTTGTACTCTAGTGTGAAAACAGCTTCTAGCAGTAACGTTTATTTCCATTCACACCCCGATATGATTTCTGCCATCACTGGCCTCTCTTCACTTATGCCATGCTTAGCTGCATCCACAGTGCTAAGGTTGTGCTTCTCTAGTTGTACAGGTCTACAAGTCTAGACAGGAATTTTTTTTGGTTTTTAATAGGTTTTAGTTTCCTTTATGATGTAGCATTGCTGATTAATTGATCTTTATTTCCAGGAAAATGGGATTTATTAAAAAAAAAACTTTTGCCAACTTACTTTGGAGATTTCCCCCATTCATTTTAGTTAAGTGAAACTATAAAACTTCTACAGCTTCTTCAGCAGAGATTTCTCTGCAGAGCACCACTTCTGGCCATGCTTCACAGCTCTATATTACTTCAGCAGATAAAAATAAGATATATCAAGAAATGTGTGTTAAAAGGCCCCATTAATTTGAAATAACATGGCCTGGGGTATTGTTTTACCCCTTAATAAACACATTTGAGGTTGTAAAAGCCGTTTTGTTTTCTGCTATGAAGCTGCTATTCCCTGAGTTTTGAAAAATATTTCAGGCTTATTTATCTTTTATTATTCATCTGTGCTTAAGATACAAATCTGCTGTTATTATTGTCTTTTTATAAGTAGCAAATGATGTAGCAAATGAATAAGTGTATAAGTAGCAAATGAAAGGAAAGCACCATGGTCTGCATGCAAACTTTGAGCTTTCCAAAGCTCATTTGATGATCATTTTAGCTGCAGGCCATGTCTACATTACTAGGACCACTAGTGTGCTATGCTAGAAAAATGATGCAGGACTGAACACAGCTGCATTAGGAAAACCATGCTTCCATCAGGCCAGACATCACCCTGAAAAAAATAACAAAAAAAAAAAAAAAAGCCCACAAACCAGTAAAATGTCTGGTATGGCAAGATCTGCTTCATCAGCTTCAGTGGCTGAGTATTTCCACAGATATCACATCCCACCTGGTTGCAAAACTGCAGCTGCAAGGGTTGTAGGTTAAACTTTCTCAAGGAGATGGGACTAGATCTCCTGAGCTTCCTTAGAACCACGCCATAACTCATGCAATAATGAATGTTAATATTTCATTCAGTTATAGTTTGAATTAATGCACATGGAAAATAAGCATTTCCTAAGATTCTTCCTCATTATCCTTGTTTTTCTTCTGAAACTGTAGGATGGTGTACTTGCTGGTTTTCAAGTCAAGTGCAGGCTAAAATCAGCTGTTTGATGAACAATCTTGCTAGAGCTGACAAGCAACCCTTTGTAAATGGGCTGGCATGTTGCAAGTCTCAGTGAGTCAGTCAAACATATGCTTCCAGTTTTGATCTAGCTTGTTCTTTATACAGGTGAAACAAGCCTAACAATTACTTTAAATAGCACTCTGCCACTGCACAGGAGCAGTTATTGTAACATGTAGCCTGTTTTTCTGGCTCAGCCATTGAATGGGACTTTGGCAAACCACTGCCTCGTCCTGCAGAGTGACCAGAGATTTCTCTGAGGGCTTGTACAGTTTCTTCCCAAAGGTCTTGTCCCAGGTCACCACTGGGGACCAACAGGGGTAGTGTTGTGGTGGGTGGGGGTCTGCGCAGCCTCTGTGGCCAGGCAGAAGTGGGTGAGGCCTTCTTCAGGTAACTGGGAGAAGCCTCATGATGGAAATCGTGGTCCTTCAACAACCCCAGGGGCTACAGGAAACACATCTGAGGCAATGTAAAAACCTGAAAAGCAGCCTTGCTTACAAATCAATATCCTAACCTCAAAGGACTCCAAGACACAAAAGCATATCAACCATAAAAGTGGCTTCCTTGAGCCGGTCCTACATTATTAGGGAGAAAACGAGGAGCTGTAAATAATCAGGAAGGTGATTTCAACTGTACTTACCTAAAATACCAGTTAATTCTAAATCTTTTTGTGCTGCAAACAAATCTATGCTTTTTCTTCTCTAGTTACTAGGTTTTTATTGAGCTACAAGAGACAAATATGAATAATTATAGTGCTAAGAATATCTGGGCTCTCTACAGTTAAAAGCAGGGCTTTTAACTGTACCTTATTTTAAGGATCTTCTCACCTTGCTTGTCAGCTGATAATGCATAAAATACTTGTTTCAACACCTAACAGTACTGCTGCTATAACACATTCCTTCCTAGAAAAATGATCTGCTGTGCTATACTCACCTGGGATAGCTGTAATCTCTTGATGTGACAAAATGGAGGTTTTTCCCGTACACGTTCCATGCCACACATGGTTTGCTCTGAATCATCAGTGAGCATTCTCAATCATCTAGCTCTCAGTGTCATTTTTAGTACAGATTTTGTCATTCTGAGGATGACAAAGGAGATGAGGATCAATCATCAGAGAAATGGCCAAAAAAAGGAATGAAAAAGAGAAAAGTGGGAAACCAGTTCCCCATAACCTGGGAAAAATGGTTATGAGACTCTGGATATACACATAGAGCCTTCAGTGAGCTAAGAGCATTTTGGTCTTCAACAACAAATCTGTGGCTGAGCTGGGTAAGAGAATGTTTCTTTCCAGTATTCTTGGTTTGACTTCTCAATAACTTATTTCATCATTTATTGAACCGATCCATATGGCCTCATAATGAATAGTTAATGCTGAGATATTAAATGTCTTCAGGCTCTAAAGCCCTTTTTCAGCTATTATGTGATTTGCCCTTTTACTTTTTAGAGAGCTCTCTTAAAAATGCACAGAGAAAAGTTCAAAGGTACTACAGGCAGTTTTTTTATCCCAGGTTTTTTGTTTCCTGTTAACTTGGACAGGAATAGTTTGCCTTTGCAGAAGGCTTCTGTGGAGGCACTAGAAAACATCAGATACACTGAAACTGAAGAAGGGACCTCCTATACCTCAAGGATAAAAAGTTAAAAGAATATCCTTGTTTTGTTATTTATTTCCCTATTAGGGAATTCAATTTAATTTCTGTATATGAAAGAATTCTTGATTACTTCCCAAATGTCTGAGTGTTCTCATACCCAACATTAGCAAAATAAGGAAACAAAGTCTGGCTTCAAGATCTTACTTTATTTCTACAAGTCTGTTACATAACAGACTCGTAAAAAAAAAAAAAAAAAAAAAGGGCTCTGTTAATAATTACAGAATCACAGAATACTCTGAGTTGAAAGGGACACACAAAATTCATCAAAGTCCAACCTTGGCCCTGCACAGGATATCCACAAGAATCTCACCATTTTATGTCATATTTAAAGCAACTCATGTTTTGATCTGGAGAGGATTTTGTACGATTTGCAGAGCCATGTATTCTATGCAAGGTAAATCCTGGGTTACTTTTTAATGAAATTTCACCACTTCCATGGCTGGAGTATAATATCTGACAATGAGCAAACCTTATTAAGTTTAGAAATTTCATTTGGGAACCAGTGAAAGTTCCCAAAATCTGAATCTGACTTCAACCTTCATCTGAATTTAGTGAGAACAGTGTTTCATGCTAAGCTTTGGCTTCCAAGTATTTTGGGTACAGCTAGAAATAGTGTAGCTTAGTCTGTATATATTTCAGCACTCCTTATTTCAGCCAATTCTAGCAATAAGCAGCAGTGGAGCAAACAGCTATGGCAAAAAAAAAATAATAATAAAGTGACCAGTTTCATTTTGCTGTCTCCTTGCTTTTGCATTTTGGATTAGTGGATCAAATTTCCTTGGAGGGCAGACACTGTCATCAGCTGCAATATTAAATATTTGAGAATTACTTAAAAGTTTCAAACCATTCTGGGTAACATGACTGTTCTTACCTGTGAGTCACACCTGGGAACTTTGGGATGCCTCACAAAAGACTGAAATGGAAAAAGACAGATTTTGATGACAAAATCTCAAAATAGTCTTTTTTAGGGCTCCAGTAATTCTGCTTCTCCTGCCCCATGCTGCCTGGTCCTACTCCCTTCTTTGGTGCTTGTATGGCAGACTGAGGAGAAGGCTGTAAAGCGGCTGTGCATCTGAGCCTGTGAAAATTTCAGACTTTTTGAGGATGATGCCAAGCAACTCTGCTGGCTCCTGATGGCCAGCACCAGGGCTCTTGCAAAGGAGTGGCTTGTGCTGGGTGACTCTGGCTGACACCTCCAAAGCAGATCATGTGAAGCAGGTGCACAATGAATTATTCAAGTGCTCTTATTAAAGTGGTGGCAAGATAAGTATGGGTTAGAAAGTGTGCTTGGATTCATCAAACAGGCATCACATTTAGCCACTCAATCAGAAGCCCTAAACACAGCATTAAGGAACATTGTCAAATCATTCAAAAATTAGGAAAGACAAAGTGCAACTTGGATTAAGCTTCCTCTTGCATTAATTTGAAGTGCTGCCTAAAGTTCTGTATCTGGAGCGCTACAGAATTAACATCTCTCTAACACACAGTCCTCTATTAGGTCACACAACCACAGTCACCTGATCTAGTTCAGGGTTGGGGTTTTCTGCCCCTTTTTATTTTGCAGCAGACTCTCACTTGCAAAGAAGGAAAGCCTCATCCTGGGAAAGGCCTTCCTTTGGGCAGTACTTTTAGGAGACCATTTATTTCTCTAGGGGAGGTTTCAGGTGAGCTAGGCACTTTTCAAAGACACAGACCCTGAGGCAGCAGCTCCGTTTGGTCACACTCCAGTGTCACACTTTCCGTGGCTCTGTGGGTGACAGGAGGTGCCATACCCTAGGTGAATATGTAATGACAAGGGACAGCGAGTGGGTGCTTTGCTGTGCATTTTGTATTTGATGCTTGGCAGGTCCGTGGCTGGGGCTGATACACTGCCTGCTGGAGAGCTGGAGTCACTTCACTGTGACTCAGAGGCCAGGGAAGTGAATCTCGTTATAGACCTAACCTGCAGATGAATGCAAACTTTATCTTTCATTATAAATGACATCTGTGAAATGCAGCTTGGCTTCCTAAGAGAAGGAACACTCCAGCTCAATACTAATTCAGCAGCTCCATCCTGTCCTGTGACACAGTGATCAATTGCTTGTTCTTCTTCTCCTGTGGATGTAGCACATCTTACTCGGGCAGGGAAGCACTTTAGTCTAATGTGTGGATTTAATTTTCCCATCATTCTTCCTGCTCTGTAGAATATGTGCCTGAGCTATGGGAAAGAAATGTAAATTTTTCCAGGAGTCTGTGGCTGGGAGGAGTTATTGAGAAGCAGAGAGCTGTAAAGAGCTTGTAGCAGTAATTGCTTCATGTCCTGTTCAAGGTATTCTTTATGATCTTCTGTGACATGTAAGAATTTTTTCAATGCTTTATTTAGAATTATTTCCATTTCCATTATTTCCATGAAATCAGGGGCTATGTGCAACCTGTAAACCCCTCTTTCTCCTGATTCAGAATCTACCTTAGGTGGTGCTGGAAGATTTTATGCACTGTCTGGAATTAGTGGGGATTAGATCAACCTATGACTACCCCTTTTCCTGCAGGATAGGTGGTTTCTCCCTAATATAGATTTGGAAGATCATGAGTCACACTAGCTTGTTACTTTTCCTCCAGAAAATTTTGATTTTTTTTTTTCAGAGAATACCAAGCAAGAATTTCTTTTCCATGTAAAAAAAACCACAAACAAACAAACAAACATAGTCTTGCTAGATATGACAATTTATAGGAAAGAGGAAAAATATAGATCAGTTAAAAAGCATAGAAAAGCACAGTTCTACAGGTTCTTTTATACAGACCAGGGAGAGCTGCTTCTCAGCTTGTTTCAGTATTACTCACTCGAGTTTGCTGAGGCTTGCAGAGGGCAGTTTGACTTTCTGAAAGCCTGTCAAAATTGCCTTACATAGGGGAGTGGCGCCCTTTAAGAGGAAAAAAACGTGTCCTCAGCCTTAGAATCGAAGCTTGCAGGTGGGGTTTCCTTTGTGGCCACATATCTCGTTTTCTTGATCTAAAAATAACAAGCGACAGCAGGTTTTATTGTAGCTGCCAGTTTATTCTCAAGTTCAGGTAATTTGCTTCTGCTTCAGAAGTGATGGGACACCTTGAAATGGATCACCTGGCATCTGTCTTGCAAACACATTCTCCCTCAGGGCTGTAAAGCTAGGCAGAAACTGAAAACAAGGGTTAATTACAAAAGAAAGGATAATTATCTGGTTTTCTTTTTTCTTTTTTTTTCTTTCTTTTTTTCTTTTTTTTTTTTTTTTTTTCATGTTGCAACCTTCACTGACCTATAGCTACTGTTAGTTCATTTCCCATTCTGCACTGGTGCCTCTGTGCATTTAAAATGGCTTTGCCCACTGCTTCTCTGCTTAAATAAAACCCTGGGGATTCTCCAGCCTTTAATGACAATTACAAAAGCCTTTGCATATTGTACAACTACCTCTCCCTTTGTTTCCCTACAGAATGGATTCAGCAGCTCCCCGGTGGGCTACCAGAATTAACCTATCAATATCCCAACATCTCTCTGCAGAGTCCTGTTGGGTTTGTCTCATTCTGATTCCAGGGTATATGGTTTTAGGTGCAGACCACTTCAGAAAGAGCTGTTTGCACCTCGAGGGCATTTGAGCAGTGAGTAAATTGCTGTTCCTGTCCTGGCTGCAGGGTCTGACACAGGCATTAAAACAATTGCGGCTTAGGATGAGAGGTTTCAGAGGAGTTTGCCTTTCCAACACCCTGCCCACCACTGCTGCTTCCCAGAGTCCTTTCACATCAGACTCCCTCTACTGCTCCAGTAACTTTACATGCAAACAGATTTTATTTCTCTTGCTGCTTGGCTTTAAGTATTGGAGCCCTAGCAGTGGCATCCTTATTTTCAACACATTTAATCATAGACATCTTCGCTATGCTTTTCCTGACATACATACAGTGTGTAGATAGTGGACGTCTTCCAAAAAAAAAAAAGAAAGTACATCTATCCATCTATCTATCTATCTATCTATCTATCATCTATCTATCTAATGTTCAAAAACACAGGCCATTCTGAAAAATTCCCTAGGTCAATGATATAACATTGATATGATGGTGTTTTAAGGTTAAATGTGCCAGTTAAAGTCTCTCTCCAGTTCTGAATCATCTGACTTGTACTGGAAGTCAGAAATGTGTCTGTATTTTTCAGCTTGCATACCAGAGAAAAAATACCAAAAATACTTTTTTGAAGGCTCTGATCCTGTTTATGCAATCTGCTAGAGTAGATTGTGCTCTTCTGATAAGAGGCAGGTGAAACTAAACAACCAGTACAACAGAGAACAGCAACACCCAGAATCTGGTGAAAGAACAGTTTGCACAAAGCAGGGATCTTCATCCCTCAGATCTCCATCACTAAGCCACAGCTCTGCAGGGAGATCAGAACAAGCTTGGGAATTGCCACATCCATAGCATTGCCTCAGAATAAAACCACAGACCAAGTGAAAACACCTCACCTCCCATTTCTCTTTGAAACTGTTAAACTAAATATCACAACAAGACTTTCTCTTAGCAGGGTTGTACTCCACCCTCTGCTCAGGAGGATTGTGCTCTGCCCCTTCCCAGCTCATAAGAAACATTTGCTCTGTCTCTGATGTGAAATTTGTATGTAGCAGATCTTGTTTTCTTTTTTCCTTTCTTAGTGCACTCTGTTGATTTTGGAAAACATCTTACTCATCCCTTCAAACCATAACTTTCAGAAAAGATTAGCAGTAACTGGTGACATTGCAGTGTTGGTTGCTGATGAACTAAGTAAGTAAGTTTGTGTTGTGTGTACTCCTGGATGGCATGATGCTCTCTTTGCTCTTTGCTTTGCAAGAGATAATAAAAGAAGCTTGAGCAAGCTTGTAGCTGGATCAGGCTGCATATTTGGCTCACTCACCTCCCCTCCTTCTGCCTCAGTTTCCTCATCTGTAAAGTGGGAGTAAGATGCTGACCTCATTACAGTGCCTTAAAGGAAAGAATTACAGAGAGCTACTGAGCTCACCAAAGCCTGTGCAAGAAGTGTGGGCACCTGCTTCAGAGGTCTGCTCTGGGAGCCTCAAACAGGTGATTGTTTGTACTCCAGTTTGCTGTGCCTAGATCTGCATGTCCTCAGTAGATCACAGTACATTGTTCACTTCTGTTGCTGTTTATCTCCTTTATCTCCATTCTTCCTTCCCTCCCTGCTAAGAACTCATGAAGATGAAAGTTTCACTTATTCCTTAACATGTTTTCTCCTCTGCTTTGGTATTAACAGCTTCGGAGGATCCTCAGCTTCAGCAGCATCAGTGGGATCCAGCTGCTGCTGCAGCTGAAGGGCACCAGAGCATTCAGTGTAAACCATGCACTGATGTGTTACAGCAGCTCCTTGGGCTCATCTGAGGCACAGGGACCATGACTGGTGCCAGACATGGTGCATGAGCTCCTCAAAGTTTACAGCCTAATCAGGCAAACAAGAACCAAGGTAAAAAAACAGCCAGCAGACATCTCCAGCTAGCAGACAACAAACAGCAAAATAAAGGGCAGAGCCAAGGATAGGGCCTTATCTTACTGTACCTCTCAGGTGAGAGCTGGGTTTGTACAGACAGAAGGCAATGTACCCTTTTCTGGATGAACAAAAACCTTGGATTTTGAAATAGTTTTACTCCTTCCACCTCTCCCTTTTGGTCTCTTTGCCTCCTTCATTCTTTTCTCACTTTCTCTCTCTCTCTTTTTTTTTTTTT